ATTTACCACATTATTATTAAAAAACTTGGCAAAATATATACTGATATCCAACGGTGCGATATTAGGGACAAAGTGCTTGTTGATCAATGCCAAAACTGCTATTTATTCCACCCTGGACATCGGACCAGAAACTGCCCAAATATAAAGAAATGTGTAAAATGTGGAATGGAAGGACAGCATCACTGCTCCGAAATAATAAGATGCAGCAATTGCTGCAAGCATCCATATTTTAAGAACGGAAATTTAGATCATAAACCAAATACCCATGCGTGCCCGATCTACGAAAGAGAGATTAAAAACACGATGCAGCGTACCGATTACTCAACAATTCAAGAAGAGGAGAACAAGAATTAAAACATCATTTGAATGCATATGAATGGAAGAAACACAGCTACTGATAGAATTAAAATTATTCAACAAAATGCTAGGAAAAGCAATACCTGCATGAGTGAACTATATTCATCCAAAAAATTCATAAACACAGACTTAATTCTGATTCAGGAGCCTTATAAAATAAAAGAAGATATAATTTTTCCAGGAAACAATATAATATATCATCAGGAAAACAGCCCAAATATAAATACAGCAATAATTGTTAGAAACAATGCGTTACAAATTAAACTAATAAAAGAATTCACTAACTCCTTCGCCACAACCATTTCTATACAAACAGAAAGTAAGAAAATTGTTATATCAAATATTTATATTCACCCCAATTCTATGAGAAAGGAGCACGAAACATTCTTCAGATCACTAACTGAAACATTTATAAACATGCCCCTAATTATAAGTGGTGACTTTAACGCCAGATCGCCATTATGGTACGATTCCACAAAAAATTACAATGGGCATAGATTGATCCCCATCATTGACGAAACGAACTTAATCATACATAATAATAAATCCACTACATGTCGAAATGCTAGTGTGATTGATCTGACGCTGACTAACAAACAAGCAATAGCAGCTATCAGAGACTGGCACACAGAACAAATATCGCAGATCTCTGATCATGTAGCAATAATCTATGAAGTACATATAACTGACAATTTCACCACAGCTACTAATTATTCCACATGGAAATTCAGTGAAGAAAAGGCGAACTGGTCAAATTTTGGCCAGAATTTCATTAAAATAGATCAAAATAATATTGAAACCTTTTTAGATACAGCAAATACAAGGAAAGATGTCGATAGCGCGGTAAAAGAACTTTCGAACACGCTCATTGAAGCAGCGTATAATACTCTTAAACTAAGAAAAAACAAACAAATAAAAAACAACATAAACAGATGGTGGAACGCGGACTTGACACGCCTTGAGAGCTATTGTAAATACCTCCGTAACTCCTATTATCGGGCGAAAAATCCCTCTATCCATATTCAACAACAGTATAAAAGTGCAAGAAACAAATACGTCAGGGAAATAAATAAGGCTAAAAGAATGTCTTGGAGGTTTTTCTTAGAGGACATCAAATCAAAAAACCCATATGGAAATTTATACAGGGTATACAAAAATATTAAAAACGATTCTAACCGAAAGGGCATTTTGGAAATCTTAGAAGTGAATAAAGATGAAGAACGATTCCAGAAGACAGTAGAACTTTTGAACAACCTTTTCCCCGATGATAGAGATAATGAAGACACAACCTTCCACAAAAACATAAGGAACTATACTTTAGGATTTCATAATAAAGAAAATATAATAATAACGCCCAATGAAGTAAATGGAATAATTGATGAGCTAAACTCAAAGAAAACGCCTGGAATTGATAATATTTCTAACAATATGATAAAACATACTAAACAACTAATAGTTCCAATACTGGTGAAACTTTTTCAAAAATGCTTAGATTTAAATTATTATCCGAATGAATGGAAAAAATCTGAGGTGATAATTATTCCCAAACCAGGTAAAACAGACATGAAAATTTATAAAAGCTACAGACCCATTTGTCTCAACTCAAACATTTCCAAAATATTTGAAAAAATTATTAACAACAAACTAATAAAATTTTATGAAGACTCGAATCTGCTTAACAAACGTCAACATGGATTTAGAAGATCAAGATCTACTATCTCTGCATTAAATGAAATTGTCAAAATAGCTCTAGAACATAAAAACAAAGAATATAAGCTATAATCGCAGTTGATATAAGTGGAGCGTTCGACAATGCATGGTGGCCGATGGTGCTGAAAAGACTAGATGAGGACAACGTTCAAGCTTCAATAATAAAACTACTGCAGTCTTTTCTTAATAATAGAAGAGTGAGATTTAGATACTCATCAAATGAAACCCACAAAAAATTAAGCAAGGGATGTCCACAGGGTGGGCCTATATCCCCTACAATATGGAATATTATTCTAAACGATTTATTGAATAACTATTCAGAATCAAACAGTGAAATCATTGCTTATGCGGATGATTTAACTGTGATATGTTGGGGAAACAACTTAACAGAACTTCGGAATACAACAGGAAAGGTCATGGGGAGAATATTAGACTGGTGTGGGAACAATAAGTTGACCGTATCTGAAGAGAAAACGAAAATCTTATACTTGTTTAATAGCAAAATAGCTGCAAAAATTCCTAACACTATCACTGCCAATCGGGTAGAAAAACTGAAGATTATGGGAATAACTTTTAAAAATCATAGAAATAAAAACAAATTGGATTTTGTGCCCCATATTGATGAGATTATTACTAAGACAAATAGAGCTAGTGGATACCTAATTGGATTAACCGGGAAAGCATGGGGACTGGACAGTAAAAGAAGAATAGAACTCTATAAGACACTGTTTCGAAGTTCACTAACTTATGGTTCCACGATCTGGTACAACTTTATACCCAAAAAAGTCAAAGATAAACTAAACTCTCTGCAGTACAAAATTTTGAAGCACAGTACACAGGTTTATAATTCAACATCTTCAAACTGTACTCATATTGTTGCTAGAACTCCAAAACTCACGGACTTTATTGAAACAAATTTACTAAAAATGAATATTGGATACAAAAAATCAGATCCAACTAAAAGAAAAATGATATCTAATTTTATAAACCAGAAATTTGAGGAATACTATGGAGGTGCCAATGATAATTTCAAGGGATTCTTTGATACTTCAAGAATTCCTAACTATGTTCAACCCAACTTCTATAACGTTCAATTTTTTACTGGACATGGTGACTTCAACACATATTTGTTTCGAATTGGCAAAATTGGTTCACTTGCATGCACTTGTGGAAACGAACAACAAACCCCTGAACATCTTCTGATAGACTGTCCACTAACTTCTGATCTAAGGGAAGAAAACCAACTTTACCTGACTAATACAAAACAAGCTGCTTGCGCAATAAAGACCAATACATCAAGTTTAATAGATTCTGCAGGATGTATATTTTGAGGCGAAAGCGTTGACTGTACATATTTCAAGCTACTACTTATAATTGCTATATGTAAAATTTGACATTGAACGTTTAATTTTAATGATTTCCAATGTTCAATTGTATTAATTGTATATAATTTAAAATATACACGCAATTATCCAAATTGTGGATATGGCGTGTCTCTCCCAACTGTTAAATAAATAAACAATCAGATAAAATCAGGACTATTAAATATATATAAAATAGTGAAGCAGTTATTTTCAAGTTTCCGTGGTGTAGCGGTTATCACGTGTGCTTCACACGCACAAGGTCCCCGGTTTGATCCCGGGCGGGAACACTTTTTTTTAAAACCGAATATTTGGATCATCTGGAAAGTTTAGAGTTATTTTTTCCACACACTTGAAATCTGAGATAGCCTTCTGTTAACGGTACATAACTTTAATAGAAAATGATAAGGCACAATTTGAATTATAGATTATAAGGCAATAAGACCAAATAAATAGTGTGTGATGTTTCAGTAACAGCAGTTTTTAAGTACTTTTGATTGAAGATGGTAACAACGCTGTTACTGAAACGTCACACATTATTTATTTATTTGGATTTGGTCTTATTACCTTGTGTTTAATAGAAAATGTATGGGCTATTTTTAAAGGAAATTGGCTATCAATTGGGTAGTTAAAAAATCTTCACGTAGAAGGTCCTGGATTTCTCGGCGAAGAATTGATCGAGGTGAGTTTAACAGCTTTGGAGAATTGAGCTCCATGCAGTAAAGGAAAATCTGTAGGAATAGAAACGAATGAAAATTTGAAAGAGAAAGGTTAGGGGAGTATGGAGGATGGAATCCTATCCACAGTACAGGGTTTTATTGTGATGTCCATAAATAAATGTTGCCTGGCTATGTTATGAAGGAATACAATGCTCCAGCGAGTAGCAAGTTTTGGTTTCTTTGCATTAAAAGCTGTTTTCAGATCTGTCATTTGAGAGCAGTGTTTATCAGAAGGGTCTGATTTAGTGACAGTAATTCAGAATGAAATTCTCCTTTATAAACTGTTGGCTTCCGTAGGCGTCTCTTACTGGGAAAAAGAAAGAAGGGATTCCATTTAATTATAAACTAATACATGCATTTATTTAAGGAGTGACCCGCTCCAACACAATAGTTACAAAAGAACAAGCGAGTGGGGGGGAACAACAAAAACAAAGTCCGCAGCGTAGTGGTGGCGTGACGTCAGCGTCGATGTATCCCCTCTTTTTCTGGGGAGCTCGGCTTCCATATTCTGTTTATTATATTCCGTTTGTCTGCGGCTCTCTGGTCGGGATGACGCCTACAAAACCTACCATACACGGATCAATTTCTTCTGTGCAATCAACCATTGGAGATCGCTTGTGGAGGTTCACAATATCTCTTCCATGATATCTTTCTCACAACATTGTTGAGAGGATCCTTTGTCTCAAATGATATCATTAGTTATATAAAAGGCAAACATATAAGTTACGTTTCAACATGGAATCATAATTTAGATATACGCGAAAGAAGAGTCCTCTCTATTAGAGAGAATGCGTTAATCAAACAGTGAATCAGCTTACATAGCCAAGTATTTATTTCTACAGATTCTTATGAAATTATACAAAATAGTATTTGAATATATTATTAAATGTCCTATTGTATCGTGTTTTCTCCTGTAGAAGGGATTTCATGTATGAAAGATGGAAATTAAAAAATTAAATTAGAAAACAAGATGAAACTTCTTCATAGAAGACTGTTTTCTTCTTAATAGTCAAGCTTCTGATGATCATGTACTGATATTTTGAAATATTTCTCTCTCCCAGATGGTTCTTGCACTGAATAAAAAAAGGACTTTATGTCATAGCTTCCTTCAGTGAATTCTCTCCTACAATGGAGGTATCTCCCAGATCGCTATCTCTTCTTCTTCCTTTTTTAGATTGAAATCCCCGTATTGTAGCTAATCACCTTCGAGCCATGTCAGCTAAAACAACACAATTACGGGATTTTTTGAGTGCTTTCTTCTCTTTTACAAATAAAGAAGCATTATTTACGAAAATGATGCTTCTTGTCTTCCATCTTCAACCTAGCACAGAATAAAACCTACTGCACAATAGGCTCTAACATAAAAAGAATATTTATAGATGAAAAACCAGTATTTGACTTATCAAACGCGTATATTTTCTTGAAGAATCCACTTGAAGAGCGAACGTTTAAGCTCGCGTTGTTTTGAAATACCGAAGAAAAAACTTTCTGGATTGATTCAATATTATTAAATTCACGATTTAAAGAAGAATCCATTTCGCAATTTTGCATACTATCAATTTTGCATATTCTTTTTTAAATAGATTCTGAAATAAATATTTATATTCACACTCACAGGATATTATATAAATAGATCTTATGTAAAAAATATGTATGGTGTATGAATCTAACTGTAGAATATTTTTTTTACAGATATATTTGGAGCATTTTTAGGCAAAAGAGTTTTTCAAGATTTCATAAGGATATATTTGATAAATTTGAAATAGTCGAAGAAATTCAAGTACCTAATGTAAGTAATCTGCGCCCTAACATATTGATACATCTTTTAAAGTATGTTTTAACGTGTTCATGAAAATTTGGACTTAAGCATTTTAAAAAATTGAAATAAAAAGAAGCGTTGAGGATTTTCTTGACAATTTTGTATTGATTTCATATATATTTTTTTATAAAGTTGATTGGATTATTTTCTACGACTTGAGCGAAAATAATCCATCTAATCTAAATTTGAAGCCACGACTCTATGATTATAAAAAAGGGTTGAATAGATAAAACAGAAACAACCACAACAAAACATTTTAATCAATACCCTTGGAAATTGCGAGGGAAATCGCTAGCTTGAAAAACAATAAAGCAGCAGGTTACGACAGTATACCAAATGAAGCTATCAAAGCCCTACCTGAGAATGGTTTAATCCTTTTATCTAACTTATTCAATAAAATATTAACTAAATTCCAAGTTCCTTCACACTGGTCAAAAACCATAATCCAACCAATATTCAAAAATGGTGACCCGAATGCACCATCAAATTATAGGGGCATTGCGCTTATAAGCAACTTGTCAAAACTTTTTACATCCATATTAAAAAATAGACTAAGTAATTGGATTGAGAATAGAAAACTCATAGCGGAAAACCAGGCAGGATTCAGAAGGGGTTACTCGTGCCAAGACCATATCTTCACGCTTACATCACTAATCCAAATGACATTAAACCGCAAAAGAAGGAAACTTTACGCATTCTTTGTTGATCTTAAAAAAGCGTTTGATACGGTTCCACATTTACTATTATGGAGAAAGCTTGCGCTTGTTGGTTTAAGTGGGCGCGCGATTTATCAAACTCATACAGAACTACTATGCTCAAATGATGGCAGCGGTCAGATGGAACGGCTCTTTTACAGAATTCATCAAAATACAATCAGGTGTTCTTCAGGGTGAACCTCTTTCACCGTATTTATTTATTATTTTCATTAACGATCTGGTGGCTACACTGGATGATTCTGACCTGCCAGGTATATACTTACCGGGTCATGGAACTATACACCTCCTCCTGTTCGCGGATGATATAGTCCTCTTTGGTGAATCCAAGATAAATCTTTAAATAAAGATTAATCTAATAAAAAGATATTTTGAGGAAAATGGTTTAACTCTGAACCAATCCAAGTCTAAAATCGTAGTGTTTCGAAATGGAGGCCGCTTGGCCAGATCTGACGTTTGGTTTTGGGGCCAACAACCCTTGACAGTATCTTCAAAATATACATATCTTGGCTACCCCTTAACTACCAAGAATACAACTGCTTACGTGGCGCAGCACTTTAAAAGCAAAGCATTGGTTGCTACAAACGCAGTGGGGAGAATACTATCTAAGTCAAGAACCAAATCGTTCGGAGCAGTGATGAAATTACTTGACTCCATAGTTTTATCTACGTTGTTATACTCGGCCCCCATGTGGGCGACAAATCAGATAGTAGTTGTAAACCAGATCCAGGATATTTTCCTACGGCGATTTCTTGACCTACCCAAATATACTCCGGGCTACATCTTACGAACAGAAACCGGAAGGATGTCCCTTGAATTAAACATTACGAAATTGATTCTAAAGTTCTGGATACGGATTTTAAAAATGGACAGGACAAGATTACCCTATGTTTGCTTGTCCCAGCTCTGGAAAGTTTCAATTGTGGGAAAAGCGGGAAACAACTTTATTCATAACTTGAATAGCATCATTGACTCTAGGGGTTTTTCTTTTCTTAAGAACTGTGAAGATTATATGGTTGTGCGAGGAGAAATGCCTAGAATTATTCAAACCACAGTGGACCAGCTACTCCAATTTGACCGAGCTAAGATACAAGGCTCAACTCATTTTATTCACTACCAATCTCTAAGTAGCTCCTTTATGAAGGAGGACTACTTACTATCAAACCTCCCTTTGAAAATTAAACGATTTATAGCCCGTCAAAGGATTCTATGGCTACTTTTCCGCAAGGATATCACGGGATTTTGGAACAGCGACCCTTTAAATTGCTACTTCTGCAATGTTGGCATCCAAGACAATTTGGTCCACTATCTATTCCATTGCCCATTCCTACATGAAAAGAGACTGGAAATTCGCGAAATTTCGGAGCTAGCTCACTACAATGAACAACATGTATATAAAATCTTTAATGCTCTCCTTCTGGATAAAACATTTGTTTATAAATATTTTAAATTTTTCAAGGCGATTGATAAAATGAGAGAAGAGGTGCTCAACTCCACAGACAACGGCTGATTGCTCCCCCCCCTCCCCTCTAGATTGCTTTTCCTCCTCACTCATGTACATATATAACCTTTAGGGGAATCCCCTTGTAAGACAATAGTGTCTTAATAAAGGTTTTTGTTGTTGTTGTTGTTGTCAATACACTTCGTCTTATTTACTCGTTTGGGAGTCCAAAACGAGCTTTTTTTTTTGGAAGAGAGACACAATAACCACTGCATTTGTTTTTTTTTTTATTCATCTTAACAATGATTTAAAAAAAATGAAACCAGATCCATATAGTGTCCTAATTAACACCTTTTCTAAAACATGCCAAAGGAAATGGGTATATATTTTATTTTATCTATATATATAAAAATGAATGTATGTGTGTGTGTCTGTTTGTTTGTTTGTTTGTCCTTTATGCCTGACCAAACCACTCATTGGATCGCCATGAAACTTTGGGAAGTTATTTAGTATAGTACTGGGAAGGTTTCTAGCAAATAAAATTTTTGAAATAACTTTTCGCCTAGAAATAATCAAGATAAATATTCTAATTTATCTGTTATAATTCAACAATCTGCTCTAAATATTATCATGATGATACGATGATTTTGTAATGTAGAAAATTAGGAAAGACAAAATTCAGGATGACACGGCAATTTATTTGAGACAAGAATAATGATACAATTCAAAGGCAAGATACTATTCCTTTAACTTCCAATTACCGAGGGAACCAATTAATATTGATTTTATTCAACTTATCGAGTATTTTTCAAGGGACCGGGAAAAAATGTTCACTTTATCGAGAGATTCGTTAAACAAACCTTTACTCGGGGTAAAACCCGGGCAAAGCCGGGTACATCCATACAAGAATAATGATACAATTCCAAGGCAAGATACTATTCCTTTAACTTCCAATTACCGAGGGAACCAATTAATATTCATTTTATTCAACTTATCGAGTATTTTTCAAGGGACCGGGAAAAAAATGTTCACTTTATCGAGAGATTCGTTAGACAAACTTTTACTCGGGTAAAACCCGGGCGAAGCCGGGTACGTCCGCTAGTTATTGATAAAATTTTGAATTATATAACTAAAAAAAATATCAAATTTAAAGTTTTCTTTAAGCTCAAATTTATTATTATTTTTTAAAAATTTACGAGATATGTTGCATAGCACCCTATTGTCTGACATTGTCTGGCTGACCTATTCCTTCCAAGTATTATCTCTTTAAAAATAATGTTTCCCTCCTTACATTGGATTTAAAAAAAGTGTTCCCGCCCGGGATCGAACCGGGGACCTTGTGCGTGTGAAGCACACGTGATAACCGCTACACCACGGAAACTTAAAAAAGAATTTCTCCATTATTTTATCAATATTTCACTTTTTAGAGAGTGTCCCTAATTCCATGCTCGTTAATTAATTATTTTGGCGTTCAGAGGGTTTACCTCAATAAATGTAGCTGCCCATGTGAGATTTATTAAGTCTAAAATATCTTTAAATGCATGTTAAAGATTGAATGCTTCATAATACAAGGAGAGATTTTCATAGAAAGGTTTCATGCTCGTCGCAGGTTTTAGGTCGAGTTATTCGAAAATAACCCTGAAATCAATTCGTATTCATGATGAGAAAGCCTATACATGTATGAATCCCCGTTTTTAGGGCTTAAATCAGGAGTATATTTGATAATTAAAAAAAAAATGTTCCCGCCCGGGATCGAACCGGGGACCTTGTGCGTGTGAAGCACACGTGATAGCCACTACACCACGGAAACTTGAAAAATACTTCCTTTAAGGTTTAATTAATATTTTACTGATTTTAATAATTTTGTGATTCTCGTGTCAAACTATACTTAAACATGTTGGTTTTAAAAGAATTTCCCTCTTTGTAATAGGCAACAATATATCAAGAAACTTCCTCTTTCGCATTTTTTATCATAAAAAAATTAATACCAAGATAAATTGTAACACCCATATTAAAAACACGACACATGTTTACTAATAATTTGATATGAAGAATCAACACAGGGAGGTGTTAAGATCCAATAAATTTTATCTAGCAACAGTAATAGCACTTCTACCACATTTATTTGTGTGTGTGGACTTGTTAACTTGCATTTCATACCTATAAATCAAATTGTACTCTATCTTTTCAATTTTTTTTTAACTATTAATATAGAGGGGCTCAGATTCCATGTCGACACAAGACCTGCTGGATCATTTTACCTTGTCAACCAGAGGTCGACACAGGTGCGCAAAGGGTTAAATCAGCAAATAATTATAAATAGTAGAGGGCAAAAACCTATTTTTAAAAGTTTCCGTAGTGTAGTAGTTATCACGTATGCTTCACACGCACAAGGTCCCCGGTTAAATCCCAGGCGGGAACTCTCTTCTTTTATATCGAATATCCTACTCCCGATTTAAGCGAGAAACACGTATTGTAAATAACTACCTTGCGATTTCTTCTATCTGCTTATGTTGTTGTTATTTGTTTAATGTATAAACGTTCTTCCCTGATTTATAGGAGTCAGAACTGACAAGTCCGAAACCTTGAAAATAAAAATTTGAACAAGAAACTCAACCCTGGAAGCTTTATTTATTTTATAATATATGTTTAATGTATATGTTTATTCAATGCTCTTTTTCTTAATTGTATATTTTCTTTTTGACAATTCTGTTACCTACTCTACTACAATATGAATTTTTGTAAATAGTTTCACGCGCAATTATCCAGATCGGATATAGCGTGTTTTATTTGCAACTGGTAATAAATAAACACGTGTTAGGAACACACACATTACGCTAACTTAGGCGGGAGCAGGTGTTAGTATCAGATCAATAAAACTATAATTTATAAATATTAATAAATTATTTTAATACACAGTAGAACATTTGTGAAACGACAGTTTTTATTGAACCATTTTTATTATTCAGAGAGGTCTCCTTTGGTTCTGCAACTAGGTGTATTTTCTCTTCTGCTGTATTAGGCTTATTAATTATTTGTATTTTAAGGATGTAACATTTGATATCTTCATTCTGTAATGGAAAATATATATGGATTCTTTAAAGACAAATTTGGAATAGTTTTGGAAAACATTTTCTAGACTTTCATAACTGTTGGCGCTAAATGGCGATTCATTAAATATAATGGTTTAATACAATGGTTTATAAAATCTAGCATGTGTGTAATTCTTCAAATTAAAGATACTTCGGCCAGTAAATCTTTTTATTAACTCGACGTTTCGACAAAAATCTTTTGTCCTCGTCAGGAGCGAACAAAAATTAAAACATTTGGCAAAGCGTTAAAATTATTCTAAGGCTGCAAGGGCGTTCTCACGCAATATTTCAAATTTTGTACAACATCTAATTTTTTTTCGCTCCTGACGAAGACAAAAGATTATTGTCGAAACGTTGAGATAATAAAAAGATTTACTGAGTGAAGTATATTTAATTTTAAGAACCATGAATGCTGGCCAGGCAGCCTTTCTCTCTTTAGGATACCATGTAATTGTTACAGGAGTGTTTATTGCCTGTCATAGTTGGCTGTCTGAACATTTTCTATACATTTGAGGCTTGTGATAGATGCGATGGAAAACCTTGTTGGTCATATTCCAGGGTTGATCATAATAGAGGTTGTAATATGTGATATTTAGAGTCAAGATCAGTTCGCCAAGTTCTGCTGCTAATGTATTTAAATTTTGTCACGCTAGTGATGACAAGTATTCCAAAAGTTTAAGTAAAAAATAAATAATTAATTATGAAAAATACTTCTCCTTATCGTGCAACTGAGAGTTGCTTATATATGCTTATATATTTAAAATAATCAAGCTAAATATTCTAATTTGTCTGTTATAATTCAACAATCTGCTCTAAATATTATCATGATGATACGATGATTTTGTAATGTAGAAAATTAGGAAAGACAAAATTCAGGATGACACGGCAATTTATTTGAGACAAGAATAATGATACAATTCCAAGGCAAGATACTATTCCTTTAACTTCCAATTACCGAGGGAACCAATTAATATTGATTTTATTCAACTTATCGAGTATTTTTCAAGGGACCGGGAAAAAATGTTCACTTTATTGAGAGATTCGTTAGACAAACCTTTACTCGGGTAAAACCCGGGCGAAGCCGGGTACGTCCATACAAGAATAATGATACAATTCCAAGGCAAGATACTATTTCTTTAACTTCCAATTACCGAGGGAACCAATTAATATTGATTTTATTCAACTTATCGAGTATTTTTCAAGGGACCGGGAAAAAATGTTCACTTTATCGAGAGATTCGTTAGACAAACCTTTACTCGGGTAAAACCCGGGCGAAGCCGGGTATATTTAATAGTTTTTCAGTTTTCTCTGATTATAGTAAATTTATCGAAAAAAATGTTGGATTTGAAAGGCTATATTCTCATTCTGTAATAAGTAACAATATAGTATATATAGTTTGTTACTTATTACAAAATGATAAAATAGTCTTTCAAACCCAACATATATATCGATAAATATACCACAATCAGAAAAAATCAGGACTATTAAATATATATAAAATAGTGGAGCAGTTATTACCAAGTTTCCGTGGTGTAGCGGTTATCACGTGTGCTTCACACGCACAAGGTCCCCGGTTCGATCCCGGGCGGGAACACTTTTTTTTTTAAACAGAATATTTGTATCATCTGGAAAATTAAAAGGACAATTTGGAATATCTATCTTCTATATAGATAATACCGTAACAGAGTTTTCCATTGTAAAGTCCTGAGCTATCTCCTCCGAAGATTCTGAACTACACATAACAATCTATATACCAAAATTTTCGTTATCTTTTTCTTCGTGTCATAGGCCTGTTTTTATTTTCCTAATGTTAACAGTTATTTTTATTTTTTAATTTAATCTATTTTACAATCGTAGATTTTTTGCATTTATCATCATCAATTCTTTTGTTTACAATTGCGTAACTTTTATAGAGAAAAATAAAGAAATACATAATTGATTAGATACAAAAGTGTGAACCAGAAAGTCGATTTTTACAAATGTTATTATTTAATATAAACTTATTTTAATTTAATTTTGAAATGAAAAGGTAGTGTAAAAGTGTATATGAGGTTAGATTCAAATAGGTTAAATTATGTTAGTTTAATCGCTAAATAAGGTTAGTTTTAGATAAGTTGAATTAGGTTAGTTTCAGATAATAAAAAAAAAATAATGTTCGTTTTTAGAAAAATAATTCGAAATAGTAAGTATATATATTAATATAAAAGATCGAAATGTAAAAATCACTATGTCCAAAATCTTCGCTTTAACTCGTGTAAAACGGCTCGAAGGTACGGCGGTGTCAACGTACAGCGCCGCCTACCAAAGTTAACCTTTTCTGGGAACTCACCAGGTTATATTATTTTTCGAATTGTAGATTGAATTATTACTTTTAATCTATCTTTTATAGTGTCTTCAATAGTGTGTGACGTTTCAGCAACAGCATCAGACAGAAGAATAAATGAACTAAAGAATAAAATCTCATTTTTTCTTTTGTCTGATGATGGTGGCATTTGAATTAGGTCTTATTTTTTTTTATTAATTTGTTATAGTTTTTCATTTGAATTTAGCTCCATTTTTGTGTCTTATTTCTTCTTTATATTAAAACTTAGAATTAAGCTTTGCTTTTTTATATACATGTTTATTACACATTTAGCAATACTTTTTCTTTATATTTGCTCTTATTTACTCATTTTTTTACTCTTTCACAATCAGATTTTGAAAATGGCTAAATGGCTTCACTTCTCCCTATTTGCTTTTGTAGCTTTTCTTATAAAAAAAATATTAGAACTTAGAATTAAGCTTTGCTTTTTATATACATGTTTGTTACACATTTAGCAATATATATACCAAAATATTTTTTTGAATACTTACCTCTTTTAGTGAATTTTTGTCAGGGGGGCTACAAAAGTGCCGTACTTATGCAGTATTTTGATGCTTTTCCTGTGGAAAGGATAATGAAATTTAAAATTAAGCTTTGCTTTTTTATATACATGTTATTTACACATTTAGCAATATATACACAGAAATATTTTTGGAATATTTAACTTTTTTGGTGAATTTTTGTCAGGGAAGCTATGGACTGCCGTAATCATGCATTATGTTGATGTTCTTCTCATAAAAAAAATATTTGGGTTTGGAATTGGGCTTTGCTTTTTTGTATACATGTTTTTTACATATTTAGCAATTTACACACAGAAAAATTTTGGAATATTTAACTTTCTTGGTGAATTTTTGTCAGGGAAGCTATGGACTGCCGTAATCACGCGGCTGCAAAAGTGCCGTACTTATGCAGTATTTTGATGCTTTTCCTGTGGAAAGGATAATGAAATTTAAAATTAAGCTTTGCTTTTTTATATACATGTTATTTACACATTTAGCAATATATACACAGAAATATTTTTGGAATATTTAACTTTTTTGGTGAATTTTTGTCAGGGAAGCTATGGACTGCCGTAATCATGCATTATGTTGATGTTCTTCTCATAAAAAAAATATTTGGGTTTGGAATTGGGCTTTGCTTTTTTGTATACATGTTTTTTACATATTTAGCAATTTACACACAGAAAAATTTTGGAATATTTAACTTTCTTGGTGAATTTTTGTCAGGGAAGCTATGGACTGCCGTAATCATGCGGCTGCAAAAGTGCCGTACTTATGCAGTATTTTGATGCTTTTCCTGTGGAAAGGATAATGAAATTTAAAATTAAGCTTTGCTTTTTTATATACATGTTATTTACACATTTAGCAATATATACACAGAAATATTTTTGGAATATTTAACTTTTTTGGTGAATTTTTGTCAGGGAAGCTATGAACTGCCGTAATCATGCATTATGTTGATGTTCTTCTCATAAAAAAAATATTTGGGTTTGGAATTGGGCTTTGCTTTTTTGTATACATGTTTTTTACATATTTAGCAATTTACACACAGAAAAGTTTTGGAATATTTAACTTTCTTGGTGAATTTTTGTCAGGGAAGCTATGGACTGCCGTAATCATGCAATATGTTGATGTTCTTCTCATAAAAAAAAATATTTGGGTTTAGAATTGGGCTTTGCTTTTTTATATACATACTAACAACAGAACTACACTACTTTAAGGACATGAGAGCACATGCACTGTATCACCATACGTGTACCATTTTCAAAGACCCTGCTTAGGATTAAAACTTCTCAGACAATAACAATAGTACCAACCTAGAGGTTAACTGGTGTGGATGCATTCCTCTGGGAGTGAGACTATTGAGAAATTCAGTAGGGAGTTATTTTGCTTCTCCGCATTCTAACACTCCAACTGTTAACACTGTGGAAACACTGACTCATGTTTGGTAAGCAATTTCAGGGAAGAA